TTAGTCATATTTTTTGAAGTTTCACTAAGGATTTCTTTTAAAACATTTCCTAATTATTTATGAAGTCTTTCTTTCACTAATAATCTGACTCATTAATCATTTTAAGAGATAGTTAATTGTGTTTACTCTACGTTTACTTACAAATCTACTTTTATATTGCAAATCTTTAATCACATATATTTGGTATATGTACATTATGCATTAGTTAGATACATTTGATCATTTTCAAGTTTTAAACACATGAAGAGAAAGAAAATCCATCAGAAAAACGCTAGAGTATATAGAATAGCAATAAACAATTTACTGAATTCTAAAAAGCAGAATACGTATTCTAAATTTTGTAGAATGTAATCGAATAATATATTCAATTTCCTAAACTGCTAGATTCATATAAAAGATTTCAAATATTTAGTTTCCTTAATTTCTGGAAATGTTATAATATATTCAAGAGTAGTACAAAAAATGCAAGTGAGATCCAATTACCCACAAAAGTTAGACGATATATGGGATTATATATCAGGAGATGCTACACCTTAATTAATCAAATATAATATCTGCAAGTAAAATAAATAAATTARAAACTATGAAAATCAAAAACGAATATGATAAAACAATATATTGCGAATAATTGGAGATGAAGGAGGTTTAATATTTATAAGAAATTATAGAACCACAAAAAAAAACTGAACAATAAAACACATTCGAATCACAAAACAAAGGAACAGTCTTCCATACATGTACAACGAATAATAAACTGTAGAAAAAAATGGTAGTCAAACACAAATGATTAGACAGCGTAGAGCATACAACATATAAATAAGAATAACATTATCCAAATTAATATCGATCAAAAATAAATCCGAAGAACAAAAAAGCTCATGCTTCGAGAACAAAAAAATTTGCAATCAAAACCCTATCAACAATAGAATCTGATAACAACATTGTACAATTGAAACTAATAAAAAAACGTAGAAAAGAACATAGAATTATAAAACTAAACAAAAAGAAAACACATACGTGACTCAAAAAAGACGAAACCGAACGATGGCGAAATATTCATGTTCGACTAAACCTAAGCCCAAT